GGGGCGGGGCCTGGGTGTTGGGCGGGGTCTGGGCGGGGCCCGGGGTGTCGGGGCGGGGCCGGCTCCAGGCACTCACTGCAGGACGCAGTCTGGGATCTGCACGTGCTCCATGGGGATGAGCTGCTCCAGGTCCTCCAGGCTGTGCACGTACTGGATCTTGTTGATGAACTTCACGCTGCCAGGAGAGAGGGGAGGAGAGGCCTGAAACCCCAGAACACTTGATGGGGTGCCCCAAAGCCCCGAGTAGGGTCGAGGGCAGGAGGCGCTGGCGATCCCGTGCCAGTATGGGAGGGGCTCAGACCCAGCTTCCTTCCCCACCCCTCACCGGGTGGGAGGAGGAGACTCCAAATTCTGACAGGTGAGCCTGCCGAGAAGGGAAGTTGCTGTGGATTGAACTGTGTCCCCTTCAGGTCCTTCCGCCCGTGGGTGTGACCAGGGCGATGTTCGAGCACTGAAAGGTTGGGAGTTCAAACCCACCTGGTGGATCTGAGGAAGCAAGGCCTGGTTGTCTGCTTCCCTAAAGGTGGCAGCCTCGGAAACCCATGGGGGCGGTTCCACCCTGCCACCTGGGCTGCCTGTCAGTCTGAATCCACCTGGCTGTGCCTGTCATTGTGTCCGGGGCTGGGTTTTCCTTTGTTTTGTGAATGTGGAGGTGCTAAGTGAATTTTGTGGGTTTTCTGTTTTTACTAACAGGTGGTAGGGCCAAAGAAGTTGGAACCTACGCTCCATGGGCCTTAGGGAAAGGTGCTTGTCTCCTTTCAGCACCTGTGGGGCAGGTCTTTGGAGGGAGTCATGGGCCTTAGCATCCATCTGCCTCTGAGTCTAGGAGCTTCTCAGCGCAGGGACCCTGGGTCCAGAGAGTGAATTCCACTCCTGGCACGTCTTTCTTGGTGGTAGTCGTTCCCTCTGACCCCCGTTAGCTTCTCTCTCCTTTTACCTCTTGAAAGATGGAAGGTCAACACTCCCAGGAAACAGCTCCCACCCCCACCATCTTCATAAGGTCAGGGCTGTGATGGGATTAAGGATGCTGCACCCTGTCCTTAATCCTCTTCCAATCACACCGCAGGGGACTCTTACATAACTGCCAAGCCAGAGCATCATGGCCCAGCAAAGCTGACACATATTTGGGGCGGGGTGTGTGTGTGCGTAAATCAGCCTATGACAATGAGGTTAGGTTACATAAGCCGAGACAGGGACCTTCCCCCAGAGCTGAGAGACAGAAGCCTTCCCCTACAGCTGGTACTTCCAGCTTGGACTTCCAGCTTCCTACGTAGGAGCCCTGGTGGCATGCTGGTTATGCATTGGGCTGCTAATTCTAAGGTCAGCAGTTCAAAACCACCAGCCACTCCCGGGGAGAAAGACAGAGCTTTCTACTCCCGGAATGAATTACAATTTCAGAAACTCACAGGGGACGATTTAACCCTGTCCTTCCTGCAGGGTTGCTATGAGTCGGCGTCGACTGGATGGCAAGTGAGCTGAGCCTCCTAAACGCGGAGAGAATCAATGTGTCATCTTTAAAGCCACCCTTGGGTGACATGCCCGTGACAGCAGTGTTGGCCAAGGAAGACAGAACTGTCGGCATGATGCCATTGAGATTGGTCCCCAATGAGCTAAGGTTCTGGTTCAAAGGATGCAGAGAAGCAGGGCCTTCTACCGGGCTCGAGTCTGGTTGTCATCATCTGCAGGAAGCTGCCAACAGCCTCATTCTTGGATCGGCCATCAACGCCCGTGGAGGCAGCAGGCAAGAGATCCAACGACGTGTGGCATTGGGCACACCTGCCGCACAAGACCTCTTAGAAGTGCTGACAAGCAAGGAGGCCACTCTGAAGGCTAAGGTGCGTCTGAGCCAAGCCATGGTGTTCACAGTCGCCTCGTGCGCACGTGAAAGTTGGACACTGAATAAGAAAAGCCGAAGAAGGATCGATGCATACATACACCGTAAGTATGGACAGAAGAACAGACATGTCTGGGAAGAATGACGGCCAGACTGCTCCTTGGAAGCGAAGGTGGTGAACCTTTGACTCCTCTACTTTGTCATCCGAAAGACCAGGAGCGAGAAACGGACATCACATCTGATAGAGGGTCAGGGTGAAAGAGGGGGCCCCTCCGAGAGGTAGTGTTTTGGCTTCTTGGTGTTTCTATAACAGAAATAAGTGGGTGGCCTTAGAAAACAAACACATTTCTTCACAGTTGGGGACTGTTAGGTGCTGTCTCGTCGGTTCCGACTCATAGCGACCCCACTGGTGTCAAACTTGAGGAAACACGGCCCGTCCTGCGCCCTCCCCACATGGTTGTTATGTTTGGTCCCACGGCTGCCGCAGCCACGGTGTCAATCCATCTCACAGAGGGTCTCCTTTAATTTTCATTCGCTGCCCGTCTACTTCACCAGGCAGGATGTCCTTCCCTATGGGAAACAGAAGGATTTCTCCCAAGTTGTCTCCCCCAAATATATGCCAAACTTAGCTGCTTGCGAATGACTATACACTTGGAGGTCAACAGGAGTAGATCAGGGGTCATTCTCCCTAAGAGCTATCAGCCATCTAGACCAAGCAGACACCACTGTTTACCCCACAATAAGCGGGGCCCACTCCCTTCTGATGAGGATAGTAGTTGTCTGTTTCCTTGTAGGAGACACCAGAGAGGTCAAACCTGCCCAACGATGACCAAGGTTAGGCAGCCATCATGAATCTAGGGTCTGCCCATCTTGTCACATGTATACCCCTAGACCTTCCCATTCCTATGGACACACCCCTAGCTCATCCCCTTCCTGTTATGCTTATGCCTATCATAGATCCCCTTCCTACAATGTGTGTGCCTATTGTACTGCCCCTTCCTGTGACGTGTGGTTACCTGTAATCATGTCCCCCTAATGAGATATAACCCTTGGTTAGCAATAAAGTGGGGGCTCTCCTGCTCTCGCTCCCGAGGCTCTCTCCTGCTCTCGTGGCCGGGCTCCCCCGATAAGGACCACCAACGGGGCTGAGGTGAGCATGCGACCATGAATTGTGTCTGACTCCATTACTCCAGTCTCTCCTCTGACTCTCACGCTCTCGATGACTTTACTATCATCTTTTCTTATTATCGCTGTGCAATTGCGCCTACAGGACCTGCGATGATTTGTGGGGACTCTCCTTGCCCCACTGAGAGGAAGTCTTGCCATCCACCCTGGGCTCTAAGCAGCATTCTGGCTGGACATCCTCAGGACGGTTCGTTTGTTCTTCTGGCCGCCCCTGGGACTTGCACCGTCTTTCTCCAGCACCACGCAACTCCAATGCAGCCATTTCCTTCCGTCTTGCTTTTTCACTGTCCAACTTTCATCTGCATGTGTGGTTGTCAGGGGCCTGCCCCCCGTCGGTGCCGACCCATCACGACCTGATGCACAACAGGAGGGGACACCGCCCCGTCCTGCACCGGCACCCGCACTGTTGCTCTTATGTTTGAGAAGGTGGCTGCAGCCACAGGGTCCACCCACCCCCTGGATGGCCCTCCTCTTTCTCCCATATGTACCCGAGGGGATGGAGAATGCCATGGCTTGGGCCAGGCGCACCGTAGTGCCCAAAGTAACCTCCTTGCTTTTCGGCCCTTGGAAGAGATCTTCTGCAGCCCTGCCCCATGCATGTCTTTTGAGCTCCCGACTGCTGCGTCCATGAGCACTGACGGTGAGTCCCTGTCAGAGGAAATCCGTGACAACTTCACTCTCTTCCCCATCCATCATGACGTTGGCTATCGGTCCAGTTGCCAGGGCTTTGAGTTTCTTCACCGCTTAAGAGGCTGGGTGTCGGAATTCGGAGCAGCAGCTCTCGAGGAAGGTCCTCCTCTCTCCACCTTCCCTTCCTGGCTTCCTTGGCAATTTCCACGTGGCATCCGTCCTCCCCCTCTCTGCTGCCTCCCCTTTGTGCCTCGTCTCCTTCTTAGATCTCAGTGATCAACTTAAGACACACGATCGTGAGGTGGAACCGATGCATGTAACCTAGCCCAAACTCACTGCTGCTATGCGGCTGATCCCCTCTCATAGGGACCCTGCAGGGCAGAGGGGAATTGGGCCTGTGGAAGACAGCATCCTCTTTCTCCCTCAGAGTGCCTGGTGGGTTTGAACCGCTGGCCTCTCGGTTCGCTGTACCAGGGGCCCACAGCACCACCAGCTTCTCCTGGTTATTTCAGACTTCTTTTTATAATAAAACCCCTATACTTACTGAAGGATGACATCAGAAGCTTAGGGGGCAGTGTTTTATGTTCATGTGTGTGGGTGGGGAGTCAGCTCAGAAAAGGAGGTACGCCTGGCTACACAACTTGTCACATGTCATCAGAGGCCACCACACGGCCCCTGGACAAAGGGCTGAGTGAGCACCCTTTCTGCTGGCTATCTTCTAGCTCCACCAAAGGAAGGGAAACGGGGCAGGCTGGTACATGGATCTGGTGGTGGTGGTCAGGTTGCTGCCACCCGGTCCTGCACCATCCTCAGACCAAAACGTCAGCGGGGCAGAGGGTGCTCGGGGGCTGGGGTTGGCTTTTGGTGCAGCTCCCTCGATCACTTCTGGCCTCTTTTCCCCTGGGGACCTTTGAGGACCCTCCTCCAAATCAAACACACAGAACACCAGCATGATCCTGGGGATTGGCAAGGGCCCTCTGGGGCGGCAGGAGAGACGAGGTAGGGGGTGGGGAGAAGAGAGACTTAAGTTTCAGAGGAAAAGCTGTTCCAGAAGGTTCCACGGTGGGCAGATGTGATTTGTTAGAAGCGTTCAGACTGCGGGCAGAGCCAACCCTGACCAGTCTGAGAAGGGGTCTATAAATAGAGGTGCTCGTCACGGCATGAGGGGCCCGTGGGGGCACCCACCCCATTCATCCCGGAAAGGACCTCGACAGCTGAGTCTTAGCGGCCATATCGGCCTAATCCCCCAAGCTCCAGCTCACTGGGTGGAGCTCTCGGGAGGGAAGATTCCGGAGAAGGAGAAGGTACACTCTTGATGTCAGCTCATTCTGGAACGCAGGAGAGGGACCCCTGAGTCAGAATCCCCAGGCTTCAACACCGAGCCAGAGTCCCTGCACTTGATCTCCAAGCCTTGAACTCTCAGGGCCATCAAGTGCATACCAACTCACAGTGGCCCTCGGGACCGAGCAGAGCCACCCTGTGGGTGCCCCAGGTGGCCAGTCTTTATGGGAGCAGACAGCCGTGTGTGTGTGTGTGTGTGTGTGTGTGTGTGTGCCCTGCCTGCCGCCTCTTTAAAAAGGCAGCCCTGCCCTCTCTCACTACCCTCCCCCTCCCCCACGAGTCTGTCAGGGTATCATGCTGTGCTGTGGTGTCCAGGACCCTAGAAGCTCTGCCACCACCGGCATTTCCAACACCAGCAGGGGTCCCTCCTATTGGACAGGTTTCGGTGGAGCTTCCGGAAGTAAGCGAGACCAGGAAGAAAGGCCTGGTGATCTACGTCAGCAAATCCGCCCAGGAAAACCCTTTGGCTCCCAAGAGGAGATTGTGGGAAGCAGTGCTCGGAGTGCCCCTGGCCCCCCACCTCCTGCCTGCGAGCAATACTAGACCTTCAACACGGAGAAGCAGAAGGTGCAGGTTAATGAAAGGCACGTGAGGGCTGAGGGGGACCTCGGGACAGGCGACACTGTCCTCCTCACCTGATGAAAGGGCGGGAGATGGCCAGCACCGTGCGGATGAACCAGGAGGGGTGGACAATGATTAAGGACTTCAAGTTTTTCCTCAGCCTGCGGGGTGGGGGAGGGAGGAGGCAAAAAGAGAGGAGAAAATGGCTCTTAGGAGTGAGGTCAGAGCAAGGCAGGGGCAGTGCTGGGCAGAGGGGATGGAGAGAAGCAGGCACTCATGCACTCATTCATTCGTTCCACAGGTGTCCCCCTGCGCCCCCCACTCACATACCTGTCAACCCTCCCACCCCATCCAGGGTCCTGAGAGGAGATTTAAAACACTGCTCTGGAGGCTCTGAGACCCGAGGAGGGCACAGTAAAGAGAAATTGCCTCCCCCCATCCCCACCCCCCACACACCAGGAGACAGAGCAGGAGGGCTAGGTGGGCAGAGTTTTAGAGTAGCCAAGACTGCATTCTCACACCTGCTATGGACGACAGTGCACAGCCCCTGAACCCACTCGTCAGTCACTCACTGCCCTTGAATCGATTCTGATTCACAGCCACGCTACAGGACAGAGGAGCCCTGCCGCCCAGGGGCTGTTCCTTGCAAGGCCTGCTGTTCCAAACCACCAGCCGCTCCTCCAGAGGAAGACTTTCTGCTCCCGTAAAAAACTGACAGCCTCGGAGACCACCAGGGCCGTTCTCCCTCGTCGTAGAGGGTCGCTGCAATGAGTGTGTGTCGGCTTGGTAGCAGTGAGTGAGAGTGTGTGTCTGTGGGACAGGGCAGAACTGCCTCTGAATTTCTGGGGCTGTCAGTCTTGGCGAGAGCAGACAGCCTCAGCTTTCTCCTGAGGAGCGGCTGGTGGCTTTGAACCAGTGAGCAGCTCGGCGCCACCGGGGAGCCTCTGGATTATAGTCTTTCCCAAATGATGAGCTGGCCCCTCACCCCATCCCTGGGGCTGGGATCCTATTTAGAAATAGCACTTGTTCCCTTTGGTTTTTAAGATAATTTTATTGGGGGCTCATACAGCTCTTATCACCATCCATCCATCCATCCATTGTGTCAAGCACATTTGTACATAGGTTGCCACCATCATTTCAAAACATTTTCTTTCTACTTCAGCCCTTGGTATC